CAAGCATGCCACAATAAAAAAAATCCAGAAATTAAATCACTAATTAAAATTTAAAAACTAAAAAAAGTAAAAAAAAATACAAAGTAGAAGTATAATGATTTGTTCACTTCAAAATATTTATGATTTCTAGTACATTATTGCAAAACACAAAACAAAAGAAAAAATTTACTAACAGAATTGAATCTAAAAAGAAAATGTCAAGTCAGTTCCAGCAGAGAGCATGGAAAGAAACCAAGCATGATCATCTCCAAGAGGCTCTATTTGTTTAAAGATGGATAATGTTCCTGCCTTTACATCTCATCCTTTTGCACCATTTTTAATCAAGGAGATATAGTTTTAAATCATGAAGTGTCTCATAATTCTTTTGGACAAGCTTTTGTTAAGTGAGCAAACTGTATCCTAATACTTGCCTTTTAAAACAGAAACAAAGATCTAGCCTCTCTTATATTAATATGCAATAAATATTGTTTTATTTACAATTAATGTGCTCAATATACAACATAAAGTTAATACTCAAAATTGGTCATCTTCATTGAATAGACATTTTATTCTCAAACAGCCCTTAACAATAAAATTATGTAATATATGAGGTTCCACCTGACCAGCATGACAAGATCCTATGCCTTTGATCATGTGGGGAAAAGCATAGACTACTACACTTATGCCACATGTCCTGTTTGGACTCTATCTTCATGCTTGAAAAATAGCAATTATAAATGTACATCAGGGACTTCACAAGCTGATTTCTAAGTTTCATTTAACCCTGGAAGATAAGTGTTCATCCAAACAAGAGAATAATCATTCTCCTCAAAAGAGGAGAAACATTAAAAGACGACCACATTATACTTGAATTCTAGTTACTTGGGAAGATATAAAACCATTAACAGCCTCAGCTCAACAGGTGTTGGTTAAATGGGGTTAGAATGTACTCTAGATAACTTTGTTACTGCTTTGATTGCTAAACTCACACAAAACTCTGTAAATGCTTTGGTCTTAATAACAATTTTGCTCTATTTTTGGACACCAGCTCTGGAAAATTCAGTACTGTGAGATCCTGGACTTCTACAACCCATTACAATATCTTGACTCACTTTCATAAAATTGTGATATACCTGCAAAAATGTCTCATGGTATTTATTGTTGTATCAGCAGAATGTGTCGTACCATCCACCATAGTATTCAATAGGTCACCATCCTGTGCAATTTATTCATAAAAGATCTATTCCTCTTGATAAAACCTGTGATGATTCAGTGAAGCTTCTCTCTAATGCAGAATTTAACACTTTGACCTTCTCCTTGGTGGGTTTACCTGGACTAGCTCTACTGGCTTATAAAACTACTATGAAACTCACCAATGCTATCAAAAACAGTATCATTCATGCCTCCATGAATGTAAATATGCTTAATGAAGAACAAAAACAACATTGTCAAGTAATACTTGACAATCATGCTGAAATTGATTGTCTGTTATTGTTCCATCAAAAAATATATCAGAAGTTTAATACCATGTGTTTCTTCAATTTAAGTTATAATAGTAATTTTATTTCAAAAGACTTAGATTACCTTAAAGATATCATTAACAAGGTTCAACAAGATGATGGATTTGGACTTGTTGGATTGGTTAACTTCATGTTTACTCAATTTCATCTGGGTCAAAAATATTCATAGGTGGATGTTTATTGATGTTGGAACTTCCTGTTTTCTATGCCTGCCCTATTTTTTGCCCCCAACAGCATTAAGGAGATAATTTATTCAAAAGTCCTTAAAAAAAGGGGAGGTATTAGGTATTCTGGCCTTGGAATAGACAGGAAAGTGTGGGGGTGATTGTAATTGGAACCCTGAGTCCCACAATTGTAACGCCCAGCAGTTTCTCCCTGAAGCTATTAAGACAACTCTATCTAGTTTCTGTGGTAATTTCATTAGGGAGAAGGGGCTGTATATTTGTATTAACTGTATTTAATCTGGGTTAGCTAGCACTTGGGATTAAAGAAACACTGCATTAGAATGTAGTCATGGTATCAGAAGGTATGTAATTTGGGGGTATTATATGTGCAGCTGTTAAGAGGGGTAGCCAGTTTTGTTTATTTTTTTTCCTTTTCACTCTGTGTGTGTCTCTCTGTTCTGTTTGCTTCTTTGAAGGTTTCCTTACAAGAAGATTTGAAACAGATCATGCTGGCCCTCACAACAAAAGGTAAGTTTTGATGGTTATTCTGAATAAACTGGGACACCACTAAAGAAAAAAAAACAGAGAACAACAAGGAATTTGAAAATGTGATAAATATAGGGCAGTATATGTTCAATGATTACAATCAAAATACATAAAACTAAGCTTCTGAAAATTCTGCTGGATAACTACTCTTTCAACATTTTTTTAGTTAGGTTTTCTCCTTGACATTTGAATGACTCAACTCTGTCCCCTGCTATGTGTAGTCTACATTAGTTTACATCACTATATTATACTAGGTACTACTTATTATATATATATATATATATATATATATATATATAGAGAGAGAGAGAGAGAGAGAGAGAGAGAGTAAAATATCTTTACTAAAAATGCCCTTTTTCTTTGAAACACAAATCTGAAACTCATTTTTATAGAGAAGATCTCAGAAGATACTCTGCAACAGAAGTAAATTAAATAATAATCAGTAATTAATAATTTTAAAGGGAAATTAAACTTACCCAGGAAGGCAAAGTTTCTATAGTTCTCTAGCATCACATCTCTATATAAATTTTTCTGAACAGGCTGAAGGCATTCCCACTCCTCTTCAGTAAAATCAATGGCTACATCCATAAATGTTAACAGTTCCTAAAATAAAAATAGGTAAATAAATAACACATTGACCACAGGAATATTTACACAGTATGTAATGACAGTTGAAAATAGAGTTAGTAGACTATCATGTAGGTAGTGTTTTGGAACACAATGATACTATTATCTACTTCTGCATAAAAACTGAATTAAATTCAAAAAAGTATACATACTCCACATTTATGAAACACAATATAAAACTCAGTCATTATCACAAAAATATATATTTTGTATTTTTTATATCTTGATCTAAATTATACATATTTTTCAGATGAGAAAATCATGGTAATTAAGAAAGGGAATCGTCAAATTTTAATTGTACAACCACTAATCAGAGATTTACTAATGCATAGAATCATAGAATCTCTGATAGAGCTGGCTATTCTGAATGTGTCGTGAGATCTCTAGTAATTCTAATATCAATGGTATAAGAGAAATTTTGAAATTTAACAAGGTAGACAGACCATTTAATGAAAATATTTAAGTTTATTTAATATTCAAACATTTAAGATTAAGTTCAAACATTTTATTGTATTTATATATATTATTAATATAAAAAATAGCAACAACAATACTGTTTGAACTTTCCTTTTTATAATTTTAACATACAAAATTATATATATATACACACACAAACACACAATCTTTGATTGGTGTTTATATTGTATGATATTTATAATAAAATATACATACAGCTCTTAAAACAAATATAATTTTTTTATTGTATTGGTTATTTCTAGTTCTACCTGACAATAAAATCGATTTTTATGGTATTATGCAAGCATGGGATATATCTTATCCTAATTAAAATCCTGTTCTTGTTGGTGGCTACAATTGTAGGATTCACTTACATATGAATTTATATTTTATATTTGTATCCTTTTATATTTTTTATATTTCTTTTATATTTCTGTCTTTTATATTTTTATCTTTTATATTTCTATCCTTCTCCTATTTATTTATTTATTTATTTGTTTGTTTACCATTGAACAATCTACTGATCTTCATTTCTTACCCTTCCCCACTTCAGGAGCTTTAGATTTCACATATCAGCAATAACTTTCAACTTTTGGTCTTAAAGAAATGGTTTGTTTTATTTAGCATAAAATCTCCAGATTCACCCATTTCCTGGCAAATGTCATAAAGTCATTCTTCTTCATGGCCAATTCATAGTTTATTGTGTACATAAGCAACAGTTTTTTATCCTGTCATTATTGAGTGGACCCATTCATCATTGAATGGTTAGGTTTATAGCTTAGCCATTGTGAATTGTGCTGCTATAAATATTAATGTGGCTGTGTCAATGTAGTATGCTGATTTTATGTCCTTTGGGCATATACAGTTCAATCAAAAAACTGGGTAAAATTGTGGTTCCATTTCTTTAACAATATCCATATAGATTTTTATGTTTCAATTAGACCTCCTTACAGCTGGAAAAATTGGAATTCATCTATACCTGACGTGAAAATAAAACATACAAAAAAATTAGTAAGCAATAAAATGACTAGAATTTATTATCAAGTCATCCATCCCAATAAAAAGTAAAAGTAGGGCTGGGGATGTGGCTCAAGCGGTAGCGCGCTTGCCTGGCATGCGTGCTGCCCGGGTTCAATTCTCAGCACCACATACAAACAAAGATGTTGTATCCACCGAAAACTAAAAACTAAATATTAAAATAATTCTCTCTCTCTCTCTCTCTTTCTCTTTAAAAAAAATAAAAGTAAAGAAAGTCTTAACAAAAGAGCAAAATTAGAAGCTATTAAAGATAAACATAACACAGAGTTACCAGTATAAATGTTGGTACTTTTAAAAGGCAAATGAGTCCAGTCTAGTGGTGGACAAGTGTAGTTCCAATGACTGAGGAGGATAAGAAAAAAAGATCATAAATTCTAAGACAATATTATATTATATATAATATTGTCTTATATATATTGTATTGAGCAACTTAGTGAGGCACTTAGCAACTCAGCAATACTCTGTCTCTAAATAAAATATAAAAAAAGACTGAGGATGTGACTTTATTGTTAAGCACCCCTGGGTTCAATCTTCAGTACAAATTTTTTAAAAATCAGATACAATTAAAAAACTACTAGCAAATTTGAAAATTCAACAACTAAAAATTATATCAATTATACAGTATATAACTGCAAATATAGGCATATATAATGATTTCTCATTTTGTGGAAATACACTCTGGAAAATTCATCCTAAGAATCTTCTGCAATTTTTCAGTTCTCTGAGTGCAATGACAGAATCTAGATGGTATAGACTAGTACATGGCTAAGATATTTGCTAGATCCATGGTTGTTCATAAGTCTACTGCTGACCAAAATACCATGATGTCACATGATTGATGCTATGAAGTAAAATCAATCAGGGTAAACCTCATAATATAATAAATGGTGAAACTACAGAAAACACCAACAACAAAACCCTTAAAACATGCTAGGATATTGGGCAAAGAGTGTAATAATAAAATGCTATTTTATCCCTTCACTCATAAATCATAACAACATATTTTGACACATTAAATGCTGAATATATGTTATTAATAAATAATACTGAAATATATAAGAAAATACAAAGCTCAAAAATTTACATACAAAAGATAGGGTTCATATGGTGATGCACACCTGAAATATCTACTATTCTGAAGTCTAAGGCATGAAGTTAAAAATATAAGGCCAACTGAAGAAATTGAGCAAACCTCATCTGGAAATAAAATTTAAAACACAGCTGAGAATATGCTCAGCATTAAGACACGTTGGTTCAATCCCTAATATCACAAAAGAAAAAAATAGATTCTTTGTTTTCAAAATTATACAATATAATAGACTTAAACTTATGAATTACAAAATATCAATACAAAAAATATATTCATCAAATGATTACATTAAAAGCTGCAAAACTGACAAGGTAAAAAAAAAACCCTGATTTCCTCACAAATAATCAAATACTTAGAAGAAGAAGAAATACAACAGAAATATATATATATATATATATATATATATATATATATATATATATATATATATATATAAAAACAAGAAATTCTTGAAGTGTCACTTTAAAAAGGATAAATCTAAGTGTTCAATAATCAGGAAAACTCAAAATCTCTATAAATTAGGTAACATTGAATAAAATCCAATCATAGATGAATTAAATAAATAGTATTGATGAATATGTGGAATAAATGCAATAAAAAATTAAAATAATAATTTAAGCTTTTATTATCCATGTGTAGAAACTGTTTTGTAATCATATGTACATGATACATCCACACAGGAAACAGAGACTAAAATTTCAGCAACTGTACATGAGAATACAGCCACATTCTTCCAGTTCTTCCAGAGTTGAAACAAAGGGGCATGGCTAAAGAGGAAGAAATAATTATTACATTTGTAAAATGTAAATTCCAGGAGCTAGAATTTTTGTTGACAAAACTATTATGAAAATGATTATTTTTCCCAAGGTACCCTTTAGTAATAACTTGTCATAATTTTACCATTCTTTACATTTTGTTAAAGAAGAAATCAAAGCAAAAACTTCTAAAATTTTCCTGTAAAGATGAATGTATATACAATGAGACAAGTACTCTCTCATATATAAGAGCAAATGTACTAGTGATCATTACCTGACACTAATGCATGCTATAATATTACAACAGGGTAGTAATTTTAAGGTAAAAAAATCAATACAGAAGACTACATAGGGCAGTTCATATGTATGCAAATATATTTTATTGTTAATTATTATAATATATAAACCAAAACATATCAATAAAATATTTAATGTGAATGAATGCTACAATCCAACCTCAAGGTAGATGTTAGAATAAGAGGCATAGATTACAAAAGCGACTTGTATGAAGAATGTGTGTGACAGTGGAATTATACACAAGCATCCACCAAAGAGCAGATATAAAGAGAGATAATTTTAAAAAATAAAATAAAAATGAATAAAAGCAGAATATAAGCCTTTCTCCATTTATGGATACACACCAAATAAATATATACTCCTGTTCTGAGTCCTTCTAAAAACTATAAAGGAATTAGAAGCACACAAATTGGAAAACTGAAAAAAAATATATCGACAAAGAAATAAATAGAATGCACTTGAAGATTTTTCTGATTTGAGCAATATGCAAAATTACTGAAAAAAATGCCCAAATCCAGTGTTAATATAAATAAAGGACGATTCATTTGGGTTTGAAATATATTATTTAACTCTAAATTGCCTGTAGTTTAAATGCTAATTTATCTGTACACACAGAGGAAGCAATAAGATATACATGAGTATTTACT